TATATATATATATATATATATATATATATATATATATATATATATATATATATATATATATATATATATATATATATATATATATATATATATATATATATATATATATATATATATATATATATATATATATATATATATATATATATATATATATATATATATATATATATAATTTCATGTATTTGCAGAAATAAAACGTTTGATATTTTCAACAAATATGATTTAATGATCATATTTGTTTCTGAAATCAAACTTTTTATGCAATTATTCATGTAACTGTTTGGTTATAATGACAATACTTCACCATTATTGAGCAAAAAAATCTTAATTAGAGAATAAAGTGATTAAAATTAAAAGAAAAACTTAACTTTATTAATTCAATAGCACAAGAATATAAGGTATCACATATCCAAAAAGTTTAACTTTTTAGCTGACAGAAATAAAAAATCGACAAAATGTCCTTCTACGACCACCTCGTGACGTCACCGCACTGAATTAAACTACACTTCCCATAATTCCATTGCGCTTCCGCGTGACGCCTGATGAAGTGTGTTCGGATGTTTGACGGTTGTGTCTGCATGTAGCGGGACGCTATGACCCTCAGACGGTTTTTGGCTGAAATAATCAGTGTTTTTTCCCCCTGAATTTCGGGTGTTTTTCGGCCTGATGGGAGCCGCTGACAGCAGGAGCAGGTCCGTGTCATTCGGCCTGGATGAAAAGGAAAATGTCACAGTCCTTCACGGAGTAAAGGTGAAGATACACACGCATATTAGCAGAAAACACACACTTTAAAGCTAATGATACTGTACTTAAACACGAGTCAAAAGTGATTTATTAATTTAATTGTGGTTATATGAACGGAACTGTAATTGTGATTGTCCATTTATGAACTTAAATGACTGTGAAAATGTATAAATATAAGTGTCAGTGGTGAAATCACGGTGGAATACCCTAATTTTACTGTATTGTTGTCTGGTTTATGCTAATGTTAGTCTGCTGTGAAATTGAAACCTGTACAGTAATATTATCTGCTGTCATTCAAGGTCAGAGACACAAAACACTGAGATAAGACTGATCTGAGAACATTCTCCGTGTGTCTTTATTCCACTTTCGATTAATTAATTTATTTCAGATCAAATAATTTATTCTTATTTAATTAATTATTGTATACATTTGTGTTAGCAAACATGTTGTGGTGCATCAGGTGGTTATTTTCAATTTCAACATTATAAAATGTTTCTCCTAAGTCTTGCTTCTAGCTTTTTGCTGATGTGTGTCAGAAATTCACCACTTTTATGAATAAAATGAACAATATCATGTTATTTCAGTCACATTTCAGACATTATTACATTAATTGTAGTTATATTTAATTTTAAGTTCTAAAGTATCCAAACATCTATATGTAAATAGACATAATAAGACAAAAACTAAACTAAATGACCACAGATTTTAAAAAGACAAACAGTAAAAATAACAAAAAAATATTTTTATAATATTTTTGTTAATAATTTATACTTTAATGTGACAATTTACAAGTGTATTAACAAATCAGTGATGCTAAATAAAGCTGCTCAACAGTAAAAAGGTGCTGTGATTGAGTGATTTTTAAATACGTTTAAATACGCATTTCTAATATTACCAAGATGTAAATATTTTACTTTAATTAAAAATAATTGCTAATAACTAATATATTTTCACATTCACTTGAATCAGGGCTTGTCTGTGTTTATTAATTCAATTTTTGCTTCAATTATTTTGCTTTATTTAATTCATGCGAAGCACTAGCCCACATTTTGGCCCAACAGTGTTTACTTTTTACTGTGTTTTACTCTTGTTTAGTTGTCCGGTGAGGTTCTTCAGCGGATGCGAGAGTCTGGACCTGCTTCATCCAAACCAGCATCAAATAAAGCAGAAAGTGCCAAAGCAGAGACGGGTATGAAGCGCTTCTGCTCCTCTTCCATGATCCAGCATTAAAGCTGAAGATTGACTGTGTGTGTTCTTGATGTTTCAGAGGCCTCCAGAGCATCTGCAGCAGAAACACAAGAGGAGCTGAAGAGACGGTCAGTGTCCAGCCGCACACGGTCATGTTCATCACTGTTTCTGAGGGCCAAATACTGCAGCTGATAATAATAATAGCAATAATAATAGTTGGTTATTTATTCATTCATGGGTTAATTACTGGTTAAATTTGTTGATGCTTTACTTTTCACTGACAAAGAAAAAAGCTATTTTAAATATAAATTAGAAGTGCGTGCGTCTGCTTGCCTGCGTCCATCTGTATGCATGTGTCTGCGTCCATCTGTATGCATGTGTCTGGGTGTCTGCATCCATCTGTATGCATGTGTCTGCGTGCCTGCGTCCATCTGTGTGCATGTGTCTGTGTCCATCTGTATGCATGTGTCTGCGTCCATCTGTATGCATGTGTCTGGGTGTCTGCGTCCATCTGTATGCATGTGTCTGGGTGTCTGCGTCCATCTGTATGCATGTGTCTGGGTGTCTGCGTCCATCTGTATGCATGTGTCTGCGTGTCTGCGTCCATCTGTATGCATGTGTCTGCGTCCATCTGTATGCATGTGTCTGGGTGTCTGCGTCCATCTGTATGCATGTGTCTGCGTGTCTGCGTCCATCTGTATGCATGTGTCTGGGTCCATCTGTATGCATGTGTCTGGGTGTCTGCGTCCATCTGTGTGCATGTGTCTGCGTGTCTGCGTCCATCTGTATGCATGTGTCTGCGTCCATCTGTATGCATGTGTCTGCGTGTCTGCGTCCATCTGTATGCATGTGTCTGCGTCCATCTGTATGCATGTGTCTGGGTGTCTGCGTCCATCTGTATGCATGTGTCTGCGTGTCTGCGTCCATCTGTATGCATGTGTCTGGGTCCATCTGTATGCATGTGTCTGGGTGTCTGCGTCCATCTGTGTGCATGTGTCTGCGTGTCTGCGTCCATCTGTATGCATGTGTCTGCGTGTCTGCGTCCATCTGTATGCATGTGTCTGCGTGTCTGCGTCCATCTGCGTGCATGTGTTTGCGTGTATGCGTGCTTGCATCTATGTGTGTGTGTGTGTGCGCGCATCTGCGTGCACGCATATGTCTGTGTGTGCACGCGTATGTCTGTGTGTGCGTGCGTGTCTGTGTGTGTGCCTGTTTGCATGCGTCTGCCTATTTGCATGCTTCTGTGTGTGTGTGTGTGTGTGTGTGTGTGTGTGCGCGTGCGTGTGTATGCGTGAGTTTGAGCACAAATCTGCACGCCTGCTTTTGAAAATGTAGTTTTATCCATTTCTCAGTGACTTTACAAAATATATTTTGGATCATTTAAACAAAACCGCGTTATTAAAGCAGTATATTTATTACATTCTTTAGGAATAGAAAGATAATGCATCTAAATTCAAACAAATTATTGCACAAAATAATAATAATTACAAACCACAAAACTTTATTTTTATGTTTCTCTTGATGTGTGTGTGTGTGTGTGTGTGTGTGTGTGTGTGTGTGTGTGTGTGTGTGTGTGTGTGTGTGTGTGTGTGTGTGTGTGTGTGTGTGTGTGTGTGTGTGTATGTGTATGTGTATGTGTGTGTGTGTGTGTGTGTGTGTGTGTGTGTGTGTGTGTGTGTGTGACTGCAGCTTTGAGCGTGAACAGGTTCTGGTTCAGGAAGAGTTGAGCAGGATCAGCCAGAGAGAGAGAGAGAGTGCAGCGGACGAGCAAAACACAGCAGTGCTGAGAGAGAAAACACAGCGGCAGCTGAACAACACACACAACCTGGTGAGAGACACAGAAACATGCATACACTCTCTCTCTCTCTCTCTCTCACATACACACAAACATAAACTCTGGACACA